GGGCCCAATCTGGGGCTTGATCTCATGACCCTGAGATCATGATCTGAGCCAAAACCAAGAATGGAGGCTTAACTGTGCCACGCAGGCTCCCCACAAAACTATTTTAGTAGTCTGAATGTAAGGTGGTGGAAACAAGAATTATTGTAAATTAAAATATAATACCCCTAAAAAATAAATAAAATGTAATACCTCTAAATGATGGAAGAATAGTTACTCATCAACTATTTTTAACCATGTTTGTCATTGTCACACCATATAAAATATCCTTCAATTGTAAGTTAACCAAATTTCCAGTCATTCCTTCAATATAAAAGTATTTTTCAGTCTTTTCCACTCTGGTTATTTTATTTCATCTTCCCAGATTTCCCTTTTGCCCCTTCTAATACTCCTATGTCTTTGCAGTTCTAAATAAACTTCACCTTTTAAGATGCCATGGGACAGGTATTCCTTATAAGTTCCTTATTCCTTCTGTGTCTCCCTTTTCTTACACTTAACATAACAAATTTATAATGGGTATCTTTCTCTAAGGGCTGTTGTATAGCCTAAAGAAATAAGGCTTAGGGACATTTACTGAACATATGTTAACTCTTTTTGTTGTCAGTTTTAGGTTCTTTATCAAAATCTATCTATTTTCGCTCTTTGCTATCCCTGAAAATACTTTCCTGAGAAAACAGAGAATATTATCATGGAAAAGAGAAGTAATGTTTCCCCATTTTTTAAAGATACACATTAAATCATCACTCCTGATGGTATCAAATGCTAATTATATTTTAGTTTGAAACATGGGTAAAAACCAAGGTGGAAATCATCCTTATGATTTTAGATTCTTCACTCAAATTTTATGGTATTGCTCATTACACATATGTAGATAAGATCATATTGAATACTCATCAGTGGGATGCAGGTGTTTATCACTTTTACTAAGAAATGGTGGGTGACTTCAAGCAAAGTTACTTAAAATTCATACATAATCATGTTCATTTATCTTCTGTTTAATTTTTCTTTTCATGTGTAAGCCTAACCATATACATGTAAATATTACTTTTATTCCCTGCATTTCTTTTTTTTTTTTTTTTTTTTTAAAGATTTTATTTATTTATTTGAGAGAGAGAATGGGATAGAGAGCATGAGAGGGGGAGGGTCAGAGAGAGAAGCAGACTCCCTGCTGAGCAGGGAGCCCGACGTGGGACTCGATCCCGGGACTCCAGGATCATGACCTGAGCCGAAGGCAGTCGCTTAACCAACTGAGCCACCCAGGCGCCCTCCCTGCATTTCTTATATAACTATCAACTAGTCTGCTATGTTATGCCTGTTGGCATTCCCACATCTTGTGAGGGAATTAATTTAATTCCTGAATCTGAGATTTCAATTCATTAAATTCTATATACTTAAACAATAGTCTTCCACTACTTGTAGTTTGAGTAAGAAAAATATCTGAGGTCCCTCAAAATTCAAATCCCCAATTTCTTAGGATTTCAAGATCTCTATCCAGGTGCATATTGATCTTTTCATAATATTTCCATTATCTATCATAATCAAAAGCATAGTCAATAAAAACTAACAAAAATAAACACAGCTGGTTTCAGAACCAATAAATTTATTAGGTTATAATGATTTGGTTTTTCATACAATTTTGGAAGAAAATCCAATAACATGAATTTTATCTCCAATGCAGACTTTAGATTTTATTTTCAGTTAGTACATTAATTACAGAATTTTTTAAATAAAGTCTGTCAGCCAGTATTTGGGGCCAGAGACAAGGTGAGGATTTGATAATCTAAGAATAAGAAGATAATTCTTCCAGTAGGTGATGGAGATAATAAAGGTTATGAGTAGAGGCATTGGTGAGATTGGACAACAAGATTATAAATTTAATATGGTTGATCAAAAGAAGCCAGATCCACAAGTTGGCCTGTAACAAGGAGACTGGCAGCTCCTAGAAGCCAAGTAGGTTGGATGCCAGAATCTGGATCCATAGCCCAGAGAAGGGAAGCCACAGACTCCATAACTCCTGGATCTGGAGCCCTGGGATCCACAGCCCAGTGAGTAGCAGCTTCTGGATCCATAGCCCAGGGAAGGGCAGCTGCTGGACCCAATGCCCACAGACCCAGAGCGAGTCGTCTGGCAAGGATTGGAGAGCGTGGAGGTCCTCGGGCGGTGGTAGGACATCTCGCAGGGGCTGGACACCACACGGGATGTCTGGTGGCTGGTGGGCTCACAGAAGTTGTCCTGATAGCCACTGGGGAGGGAGGAGCCCAGCTGGCAGGTGCTGGGAGAGCGTAGGTCAGTGTGGTAGACCAGGTTGCTGGGGAAGGAAGAGCGACAGGAGGAGCTTGGGGAGCGCAGGTATGCCCCAAAGGAGCGGGAGGAGTAGTTTCCGGAGCAGCTGCTGTAGGACATGTTGGCAGGAGATCTGAGTTCAGCTTAGTGACAGCAAGAAGATTCTGTGTTTGAATATCTTACTCCTCAAGTGAGGCATTTATATACTCTCAGCAATGGGTGTGGCACTTCACAATGTCATCTTTTCAAAATTTGGAGTCCTTCATATGCATACATATAACTCAGTAATCTTTTTTTGTAATTGGAGTTAACTACCTCTCTTCATCTTATATTTATGGGTTCACTCATTTTGTTTTTATAGCCCCATGTCAATGAGGTAAATCTATGTTACAAATGCTATGACGGTTTGTAATTAATGCCTACTCCATCATGGCCAGGGAAGTCCCTCTGATTTTTCTGGGCATGAAAACATGTGCATGTACATGTGCTCAGCTTTGGCTGAATAATGCTTTCTTCCCAGGGGGGAGATTACAATGCATTCATCTCTTTTGTGTCAGTGGCTGAGAAGCAGAAATCTGGTCTTGATGAGGAATCTTCTAAATATTGCCCCTACATCAAACTATTGATTCACACTCTAATATAATTTTGCATCTATTACTTACTATTAACATTCCTTACTATGTCCGGTCTAGAGGGCTCTTATAAAAGTAAGCCAAAAAGATTGACAGAGATGATTAGAAGTGGGCATAATCCTGAACAAATATGCTGTAAAAATTTAGTCTTTAGAAAAATGAAATCAAATCTAAAGCAAGAAGAGATCAATATGAGCACATGTGAAGAAAACTAAAATGGGAGATGCTATTGAGATGAGGTGAGGAAACAAGGGACAGTGGTAGAGAGAGGAACAAGTCTGTCAAGATTTTCTTCTACCCCATTGGACGACTTGTGGATATTCTACTTCTTAGTTCAATCATATAAAAGTTTTTAAAAATGAACTTAAATCATGGCTTTTGTGAAATACATTTATATGCTCAAAACATCCTGGGGTTTATCCTCCCACAACCCCTCAAAATTTTGAATGTTCTCTGAGTATTTCCAAGGTCATGGCAGATCCTATATTTTTCTCCCTACTTTTGATACATGTTTCTGTCCCAGCTTTCTTACTAGAGGGGATCCAGGTTATGTGAATCTTGAAGTTTATAATTTGGGGGCACTTCTTTAAGAAAAAGAATACAGCATTATGAACATAATAGTAGATATAAATATGAATGCTAATTTAGAATAAAACAATATTAATAAATACAAACTCATAAGATGACAAAAAACATAAATATCACAAAATCAAGACAATAATATGATATTATCGTAATCATCACCAACATCTATAACATTTCCTCTATATTTATTGGCTGCATAGTCTTTGATCACTTTTACATATGACAGTGATTTTGTCAACATGATTTTCTGTAGAAAGAATAGAATATATTTCAGTTTTTCTTCCAAGATTATGAATCAGAAAATACTTAAATTATTTTTGATGACACAGAAAAGTTCCTTTCAACATTGCTATTTATTAGTAATGCCACATCTGTAACACCTTGTGTCATTTCTTCTCAGTTGGTGCTTCAATCCTGGGATTATGCTTATCTCAGCTTGGTGTCCCTGCTTTATCTCCCCATCCCAGTCTCCTGGCCCTAGAGGTTGTGGACTTGTGTGAGAATCAGCTACAAATGGCTGTGGACCCTCGGTTTTAGTGATCTATTAGGTAGCAGAGTAATGTTTTGGTTCTAATCCTTCTTCTTTTTTAATATCTTTTTTTTTTAAAGATTTTATTTATTTATTTATTTGCGAGAGAATGAGAGACAGAGAGCACGAGAGGGAAGAGGGCAGAGGGAGAAGCAGACCCCCCGCTGAGCAGGGAGCCTGATGTGGGACTCGATCCTGGGACTCCAGGATCATGACCTGAGCCGAAGGCAGTCGCTTAACCAACTGAGCCACCCAGGTGCCCTCTAATCCTTCTTCTTAAAGTCAAAACTCCCTGAAGTTCTGAGGTTCATCAGGTTGATTCCAGGGTCTAGAGGTAGTACAGGCAGCTTTCTGGATCCACCTATAGCCCCAGAACTACTTCAAGGGCAAATGACTGATCTCAGGATACAGCAGCACAACTGGAGCAGTGGGTTCCTCCAGACCTCCCTGAAAGAGTGCAGTGGAGCCTTGGAAAAGGTCAGACAAAAGAACCCTGAAGAGGACCCTCCCATGGAAACTTCATTAGGTTAAATCTGTCTCTGTCTTTACCTAAGTTGCTCTATCTAAGACACTTGAACATGTGCTAGTGACCTTCTGTCTGAGATATCAGGGACCCACATAGAGTGCCCAGGTGTCTGTTCAATATACTTTCCATGGAAATGTCTCTGTCCAGAGTTCTAACCTAACTTTCAATAATTGCATTGTGGTGGTTAGTTATTGCTTTTATTATTTGCCTCTGGTCCTCTTTAACTCCAAGTTTTTGGGTTTTTTTTAAAGGAAAATGTCTGATAGATTTATCACATTCTTTGAGTATATGGCTGTTTCCTGCCAATTTGGTGTAACATACACCAAAATTCAACTATGTGGTATCAGGTACTCAGATAGTATAGTGCTGTGGCTTAAGGCATTGAGTTGCAACTCTGATAAAACTACAATACAGGGCGCCTGGGTGGCTCAGTTGTTAAGCATCTGCCTTCAGCTCAGGTCATGATCCCAGGGTCCTGGGATCGAGTCCCACATCGGGCTCCCTGCTCGGCAAGAAGCCTGCTTCTCCCTCTCCCATTCCCCCTGCTTGTGTTCCTGCTCTCGCTATCTCTCTCTCTGTCAAATAAATAAATAAAATCTTAAAAAAAAAAAACAAAAAAACTACAATACAATTTTACTGTAAATGCTTAAATTAACAACTTTTCCTCAATGTAAGAGTAGGTTTCATTGCAATTTTACAAAAGGAAACACTATATAGGACTTCTGTAAGTCCAAGAAATGATGAAGTAGCTGAATTCACATCAAACAGCTACTTTAAAAAAGTTTATCTTATGATCTTTTAAATTTTTAAATTTTTTTTCCTATGAGTTTCTAGCCACTGAGGTAAAAGTCCCAGCCCACTCAATGCTGTGAACACCATGCCTTTCTCAAACCACTGTTTTTCAAAGAACTTCTTGGAAATAGTAGTCTTATCACAAATGAGAGTGACTTTTTTCTCACTGGAGATAGGACTATTGTTAATCAAAATAATAAAGTCAACAAAATTTGTCTATAGTGACAGAACCTTCCGGCTGCCCTCACAGACGTACAATGATGGCCTTCTCTTCCCTGTACATCTGACCCTCCTCACGTCAATGTGGTAGTGTTGATTTTAGCTGAAATAACAGATCACAAACCCCCAGGTCCTCTACCAAATCCAGCCCACACAGTTTTGTTCATCACACAAGCATGGACCACCCCCCCCATAGGTTTTTTATTAAACTCTAGTCACTAATATTTAAAAATCAAAAGAATTAATACAAAATATGGATTTCTGACATCTTTTAAAAATTCTGAAAATTTGGTTCTGCTGGGCTCCCTTGCTTGCAGCTGCCTGGAACTCACTATAAGCTACTCCATTCATTGAGGATATGCTCCCTGAAATTCCCAAGTTCAGCTACTCCTCTTTACTTTATAGTTGTGGGGCCCAATTTCAGTTGTCATTAGTCATCAAGCCCGTGCTATTATTTTGTTGTGTTAGCTAATGTCACTATCACAAATTGAGAGACTTTGGGTTTTAAGACACTTTGTGAAAACAATCTCCCTGTGCACTTGAAGGATATTTTTCCATGTTTAATAGGAAAATATTATGCATCTATGTTGGTGGAATTGGATTATAAAAACACCAATCATGAGACAAATCACAGGTCAACTGCACCACCTCACTTATGTTTATTATCCTCTGACTTAAAATACTCTACATGCCAGCAGAACGTGACAGGGTTTTTATATACTGGGCAGTGACTTAAATCAGTGGTGTCTTACTTCTGAATATGCAACAGAAGTGACAAATGGGTCATTTTAGGACATACAAACCAACCAGAAAAGAAATAAACAATTTTAAAAACCAAATGATTGAATTCCTCCCCAGGCTGTCCCACATGTGATTCTGATGTACTACCATGGTTAGATTAAAGGGTTAACACACTTAAATTAAATATTAAATTAAATTAAATTATTAAATTAAATTAAATAACTAAAGGGTTAACATCTAGCCAGGAGCCCGCAGGAGATACTCATAGCCACATGACATCATACTACTACATGCCTGACAACTGTAACCACCTTTGTACAGGGATTGTCTTTCCAAGAATATGAAGTACAACATTACAAAGAGAGAAAAGGAAATCTATTTTCTGTTTATAACATCATAATTCTATTGTATTGGGCAGTTCCTGCTAATAATATGCTGCACCCTCTCTTCTTGCTGCTATGCAGATATAATAGCTGTTACGAATGCTGTTGTTTGGAAACACTGAAGATGGATTTAGTAGCATTAATATCCATCCTGCAAGATGCAGCATCCTGGGGTTTGAACAAAGGCTATGTGTCACTACCCAGTGACATTGTGCAGATGGCCTCGCGATGAGTGGTAATGACTCCCTCTAAATACAGGAGAGAAGAATAGCAATTGTGACAGACTGTGATAGCTAAAATTGGAAGGCAGAATAAAAACAAATTTTGAGTTAGAAGTCAGTTGTTAAATGTATGAGCGGAACTAAAATGGTCTGTACTCTATAGACGTATGTTGATTGAGTGAAAAGGGGCATCGTCTTAATGTTATAAATGTCTTAAATGAAGGAAGTCACCGTGGAAGATTACATAGATATTAACTATTTTTGGTGTGTTCATTCTTTGATTGACAGCTTAGTGAAGGTTGACTATATGTATCTAATAGACATGGAAGCTTTTCTACTCAGATGTCATGGGTCAGCTAAGACCCATGGGCTTAAAGGTTTCCAGGTGACATCAAGTCTTGACCTAGTGGAAAGTAGTGAGATGAGGAGAAAGAGCACAAGCTAGCAGATGTGTGTGTGTGTGTGTGTGTGTGCGCGTGTGCACACCTTCCTCTCTTGCTACTTTGAGGAGGTCTGGCCTCTTCCTGATGCTGGGGTGTCAGCATCTCC